CAAATTTGGGGTTACAACAAATAATATATTAAATCCTTAGAAAAACTAGCAGTTAATTTATTTTATAATGTTTCTTATAGGCTTGCAATTATTTGAATAATATTTCCAGTTCATGCTGTGTGATTAGCTTTTGTGTATGTTTAACTTTTTATCATTTTATCTTTCTGATCACTGTTCCTGCTTCTCTCATTCTGCCTCCATGAAATAAACAGACAGAAATAGATAACATTAAAAGGTCTGTAGTCACGTATCTAGTAGCAAATTGTGTTTGTGTATAGTTTTTTCATCTTGTAGCCTTAGGGTTTACTGGTATACAAAAAAATCTAGAAGTTAACTTTGTCTGGTCATTCATGACCTTTATGAGAAAATAGAACATGCCTAAAAACTTTCTGCACACACTTTCTGGAGCATCGAGGGTCTGAAGTCCATGAACAGATGCACACGTTCACTCACGTTATTACAAGTAATGTTACCTGCATGCACACAGGTCTCCTTACATACAGGGCTAGCCCAGAAAGGCAGTTGAGAAGCTGAGAAAGAGTAGGGCGACTCCCTGAGGTTCTGTTGCTGATTGATGGCTTCTGAATGTCAGGACCTGTGCTGTTACCGAGGCTTACATTCCTAGCAAGTACATACTGCCTCGGTCAGGAGTCAGAAAACTGTGGCCCCTGGGCCAAAACGACCACGCCTGTGTGTGTGTGCAGTGTTACTGGAACAGCTGTGCTCAGTCATTTGTGGATCCTGTGACTGGGGGCGGCCATACAGAGCAGTGCTTTGAAAGGTCTGTTCCCAGTCAGAGGGGCCAGCCTTTGCCCCACACCCACTGAAAACACCTGAAAGCATCAGGATAGGTAACTTTTCAAGAAATAGTAGAGCTGGAGTTCGTGCTCAGTAGGAATTTAGTGACTCCATTCTAGTCGTTACTGTGGGAGTTTCCCCGTGAATTTCGCACTCCTTCCTGATAATATTACCTCTTCCCTAGAACTAACGGCTCTTCACCCCTGAAGAGCCCAGCTGGGTCGCTTCTTACAAGTCTCAAGACCCTTCATGCTTCCAGAAAGTCCTGGCCCGGCATGGCAAGCTCAGTCACTTGACTACCATGTTTCCCACAGAGACATGGGTTTGATCTGTCCACGCATTTTTCATTCGAATTAACCGAGTCTTTCCTTATGCAGCGTTTCATTCTGTGGACCCCTAGTGAGATAGTATTAATGCATGTATCTTTCTTTTTGCCTGTAGGATCTATGTAAGAAGCCTGCGTATAGGGAGAAGGATAAGAAGGATCCTTTTCACCACCATCTCACCCACACCCAGACAAAATCTCTTGAGAGGAGTTATTTTTGAGGAGTGAGAAAATAAACTCAACTGTGAGTCTCAACGTCATAAACCATTGTCAGTAGTAATGAATAGTAAACTGAAAAAGGAAACAGACTAGTAAGTGAATTCTTAGAAATTTGAAAAGGGGTACAAGGGGTCACTCTGAACAGAGCATACCAGCCTTGTTAGCTGGCAGACACCCTGCTCTTGTGAGAGGATCTCAGTTCATCAGCAAGGCCATGTCCCCCACTTCCTGTATCAGTGTTGTGTTAGCTCTGCAGCTAAGATGTCGGCATTCCCAGCCCTCCAAGCCGAATTCACCCTGACTCTGACCACTCCGGGTCTTACCCATGCGTGTAGCGTACAACACAACTGGAAATACTTTCTACAACCTCCTTCATTTTATATATGATTGCACAGGTGCTTGTGTTAACGTTTGACTCTGCTATGCATAAGCTACCTCAAAACTTGGTGACTCCTAGCAGTTTATTGTATTCACCCAGTGCCACTTGGCTGGAGTCTGGCTGCTGAGCTGAGCTGTGTTTGGACTCTGCTTCCATTCCTGAGACTTTAAAAGGTAGAATTTATGGAAAAAACAGGATAGGAGAACAAATTAAGGGACCTAGATGATGCAGTAGGTAGAAATGCTACAAAAAACAAGATGGAGGAGCGGGGACCTTATTTGAATCCTGATTGGAACAAACTAAAAATGGCACATATTTGAATAAATTTGAACACTGGAGATATATATATATAAAATATTTTGGATTTGATCATAGCATTATAATTACATACAAATGGAACTTAAAAATAAGGTTTGCTGGGATTTACTTCAAATTGGTATGAGAGCAGAGAAGTGGGTAAAGGTCTGGAGGAGAAAAGATTTTCCCCGAGTTAAAATTTCATGTGGGGTGAGGGTTGATGATGCTCTTGTACTCACATAATGTTACCCGGCTATGGTAGGCATATAATAAACCACATACATAAGGTTTATCTGCTTTTCACATACTTACCTTTTTCTATAATGTAACTGCAACCAATCTACTTTTTCTAAAAAGACTTTTATCCATGTACAAGCTAGAATCATACTCCTTATTTTGTTTTTTGGGGTTTTTTTTGTTTTTGTTTTTTGTCTTTTTTGAGGCAGGGCCTCACTGTGTGCAGTTCAGGCTGGCCTTGAGCTCACTTTATAGCCCAGGCTGGTCTCAACTCACAACGATCTTCATGCCTCAGCCTCCCAAGTGCTGGGATTACAGGCGTGTGCCGCCATGCCCGGCTTTTACCCCTTATTTTGGAATGTGAAACAGATACATTTGCAAGTCTAGAAGAAGATTTAGAGGATCAAGCTCCATTGCTATAATTTTCTTTTAAAAAATTGGAGGAAATTTCAACCATCAACACAGTCCAGTGTTAGAACATTTGCAGTCACTGGAAGAATTCTGTCATGCCCATTTCTAGTGAGTCTTTAGTCCTGTGCCCAGCCTCAAACTAGCCATGACCTACTTTCTGTCGCTGTGGTTTTACCTTTTCAGACTTTTGGTTTTTTCAGTGTAATGTTCTTGAGTTGTGTCCACATTGTTTGCAGGATGTATCAGTTCTTTTTACCTCTAGGTAATAGCTCATGGTATGATGTACCACATTTTGTTTTTCCGTTCACCATTAATATTATATTTGTATTAATTTATTTTAGGAAGATACCTGGAGACGAACTTGCTGTTTAATGGCATGTTTCATTTTAACATAACCTAGTGTGTATATTAGCTAATAAGAGAATAGCAAACTGTTCCTCTGCCACAACTGATTTAAAAGACTATACTTTCCCATTAAATTACCTTGGCACCTTAGTCAAAATCAGTTGACCACATAGGTTGGATGCATTCCTAAAGTCTTATTTTGAGCCACTGCCCTCACATGTCTGTCCTGTGCTAATGTCAACTGACTTGGTTACTGAAATTCCTGAGAGCAAACCAGTGCTTTCCACACTGACTTGTGTTTCCCACCGTTGCTCACTGGACAGAGGCAACTGCAGGTAGAACCGAGTAGGACAAAAGGAGTCACCACACAAACGCCCTGTGCCTGCTGCACGTTATCCGGACATGAAGCTGTCCCACCATTTCTTACAACTTTCTGCTGCTTCAGAGTCTGATTTTGTCATTTCTGTGTCTGAAGGGACTGCCTGGCAAAAGGCATTTTCCTTCCCTTTGCTTAAGAGAAGGAAATTAAGCTACTGGCTCAGCCAAGAATTATTTTATTTTTTATTTATTTGGTGAAAACATCTATCACCAAATACTTGGGGATTCCTATTCTTTTTTTGGTTTTATTTTGTTTTTGTTTTTTGGTACCGGGAATTTTGTTTTTTGAACTCAGGACCTTGTGCTTGCCAGGCAGGCACTGTGCCACTGAACTGGGTCCCTGGCCTGAGACTTCAATGCTTACTAGGCAATAGCAATTAAGAAAATGGAGCCAATTAAACTTTTGAAATTATGACTAGACTATTCATTTGTCCTTAAATTTATAGAAATTTGCTAATTTTTATAGGTGGCATTAAAGTTCATTTTGAAAAGTACCAATATGTGTTTTAACATTAGCTGCTACAATGCTGCCTCAGTTCATGAACTTAATTTGTTCCACAATTCTGGAAAAGATGGCAACATTTGTGTTTGTGTGTGAAAGATGGTCACAGTCGTGTTTGTCACCCAACGGAGTTTGCAAACAAAAACAAAATTTTGCCAAACACTTCTATTTGCAAACCAAATGATTTGGGAACAAAATTATTTGCAAACAAAAGCGTTCACTAACTGAGGTACCACTGCATCTCAGTTTATCCCATCTTTAAATTGTCTTGACTTCTTATGAGCAAATCTTCCCACTGGGGTCTTCTTCAGGTGTGTCTTGCCTGCTTTTGGCCTTTATATTTTATTTAGAATCATCTGGACAAGTTCTGAACACTGGAATGCATGTTGGAATTTTGGTGATGATTTCCCATAATCTGTTGATCAGTTTGGAGAATATTGACATCTTTGAAATGTATCTCAATGTACCAACTTGGTTTTCTCCCTGATGGGCTATCTTTAATTTTGCTCAGTAATGTTATAAAGCTTTTTTAGATGTTTTTGTATTTGGTATTTTTAGTATAAGTGGTATCTTTATTTAAATTTTATTTTCTAACTACTTGTGGATAGAATTTATAAGGAAAATTGAGCTATGTATATTGATACTGGGCAGCCTTAACTTGTAGACTGCATTTAGTTCTGGGTACCAGCAAACTATGGCTGGGGGTTTAATGCAAACCACAACCTATTTTTGCAGGCCAAGAATGGTTCTTACCTTTTCATAAGGTACTGTAAAAGCTGCAAAACGAGGAATACTCTATAGAAATAGTGTATAGCTGGTCAGCCTAGAATGTCTATGAGCTGACCCTTACAGAAAAAGTTTGCTCACCCTGTCCTCACACAGTCCTGTCATCCCTGAATATAATGTAAGTTTTATTTCTTCATTTCAAATTTGAACATTTTGTTTTCTTTACCACATTATCTAAAATCTCCAGTGCAATAGTAATAAACAATGATAGTAGGCAGAATGTTTCCCTATCTCAAAGGAGAAGCTTAATTTTATAACTGATTTTTTCAATTTATATTCTTTTATCAGAAAAAAATTCCATTCCTTCTTAGTGTTCTAAGAATTTTATTATAAATTGGAGAAAAAAGTAGAATATCCAGAAATTTAATTTAAATTGTCATAGATAATTGATACAGAGGGAAAGTATATGTAAATCCTTTTCAGTTCCTGAGATACTGTTTCCTCATTTCAGCAGTTCTGTATTTTTTGCTTTTAATCGGTATTAAATCTGTCCCTGTTCTGTCATTCCATGCCCTCTCTCTTTGATGGTGTCAAAAAGTGCATTGTACAAATGTATTAACCATAAAACCCAGGCTCTTCAACGTAAGTAACAAGGGAGAAATCCACTTTTTCACCTGTAAAATTTATTGTGGAAGTCAGCAAAGCTATTTTCATGGTTTCATGTTATTGTCAGTACACATTTATATTAACCAGATAATCTTACTTCTGAAAGTTACTGCAGGGTTGTTAGTATTTGTGCTGGGTATGCTATGCAAGTTGTTTCCATGCACTACCTTTTCCATCTTTGGAAAGAAGTCTTCTAGCAATGCAGTTGCTTTCAGCCCTACAGGCATGTTAGTATTTTGAAAAACACGTTGTTTTATTTAGTCCCACTTTAGTATCCCCTTAAAAAGCTTGACTGATGACTCTGGATATTCAGCTAAGAGAGTTGTATCAAAAACTTGCTTGAATTTATCCAAAAATTCATAATCGGTGCTGAACCTGAATTTGTTTGCCCATAGCACCACCGTCCCGAGCTGGGACAAGTACACCATGGTGGTGAGCAGCTTGTCCAGGAAGTAGTGGTGGTAGACCACATCGGAGGCCAGGACGTAGTTGTAATAAAACGTTGACTTGGGGAAGTTCTCTTCTAGGTCTTCCCCCCACACCAGCTCTTTCACTTCAGGCAGATGGGCTGTGCAATTCAGTGTGTTTCTTAGGATGTTGTATTGAAGGTTTCCGAGTACGTCAGGCAGGTCTGTTGCTGTGACTTGAGCTCCTAAGAGAGAAAAATGGTAATCATTACCTGGGAACACGTGGGCAGACGCAGCGTCCATATACTCAGAGAAAAATGCAACCAACACCTGGGCACTGGTAGGAAATCGGCTGAACACATTTGACACGATTCAGACTAGGTGATTCTTATGGGTGCACCCGTAAAATGATTAGCACTCTCCTCAGTCTTCCCCTCTTGGTGTCATTAGCACCCCAATTTAACCCTATATGACTGACCATTATTGGGGACTCAGAGCTGTACCTCTGGACTCTCAGCTTTGTGATATGGAGGCCTCTCCAGAACTCAAGTTATCCCTGTTGCTAACAGTGGTGAGTCCACCTCCCGACGTGGGGAGATTCAGTGAGTGAAATCACAGCCCACTCCCTCTACCACAGCCTATCCTGTTTTTAAGCACTTGCTATCTTTGATGTCACTGTAAAGGTCTTTTGAAACAAGAACAGGAAGAGAAAAGCAAACCAACCTAAAATACTGGCCACAATGGAAACAAGGCCTGGTCCAGCACCAATTTCAAGTACTTTCGCATCTCGGAGATTCAGTTCCTCTGTATGTTCCTCCAAATACTGACACAAAACTGTAGCCTAAAAAAGAGATCATTTTCATCTTCAAGTTAGAAACCAGTAGCACCCCCCGCGAAACCCAGAGTTAAATACTAAAAGACTCATTAAATGTGTTCAGTCCATTGAAGGGGTCAGAAGAACACAGCACTGCCATATTGAGACCTCTGGGATAGGACAGTTGTGATAAACTGCATCTTGGGAACTGGCAAACAGACTTGTTAAAGTGCCTGTATCAAATCTGACCGATGTCCAGAAATATCGGGTAGATTAGCTCAGCTATTACCAACTACGGCAGTGGCTGAAAATCTGGTCTCCTCTGCTGGGATCTAGTGGAGATGGCTGGAGGCTTCTTTTTGACGGTGCCCCACCCTCGAGGAGGGGCTGCCTCCAGTCCCACTGGTTGGGGACAGTTTTACTTGGGAAGAGCCACAACTTTCTTTGCAAGCGCCGCAACGCTTAGCTCTGTTAGCAGACTAGTGACCTCTTTCACAGAGAGCTGTAGCTGGAGTTCATGGAGAAGCCAGGCACTCGCCGGGCAACTGTCAGGAAACCGAGGTCCCAGGAAAGACTGGTTTGCAAGAAATGGAAGGCAGAGGCCCCAGTGAGCGCAGAACTTTCAGTGCACAAATCCTCTCTCCATTCCTGCTCTCCCTGACCACTGCTGCTGCGGTCTGTTGGCCAGTGTCTTGTAGTTCAGGAAGAAAGCTTTGGAAGGAAGTCACTCTGGTGCCTAACACATGAAACAGAGCCACCGCTGCCCGCGGCCTGGAGACCTGGGGGGACCTGCGTCATGACTCCTCCGCAGGGGTCCTGCACCAACAACGGGAAATTCCTGGGGAGTCGCGGGGAATGTGAGTCACACCCGCTGGGGCCGGGATCTGCACGTTCAGGAGATGAGTGTGACTCGGGGCTTCTGCCCTAGAGCCTGTCTGCGCACAGAGGCCTCTGCCGTGTGGAGAGCGGGGCCCTGGCCCCAGACCCCAGGGAGCCTGGGCCAAGCCACGCCCTCCTGTCAGTAACTACAGCTAAGGTGTGCTTGACCGCAGCACTTCACTGCCCAGTGAGAACGTCAGGAAGGAACCACTGCCCGGTGTTTTAAGTTGAGAGGCAAATGACGGGGCAGGCTTCCCTGGGGCAGCACCGTGTCCTCAGGACTGTAGCAGGAGTGGCAGGAGCTTGAGTGAAGCCTCCTTCCTAACCATGTCTGAGAAGAATGGTGGCCGACGTGGCCAGAAGTGCTTACTGAAGAGCCTCGCCCTGCATTCCTGATGATCTTCTGTAGAGTTGCGTGTATTTTGCATCCCACCCCCAGATGATCAAGTGTATGTCACATAAAAACATTTCAAGAAATACCGCTTAAAACTAATGCTTGATGTGGGGGTGCTGTTTCTGCTGTGCCCAGATAATCAGTCCTCGATGTGAGAAGGACAGAAGGGGGACTCCTGGCCAGCTGACCGAGGCCACACAGCCCTCCGGAATGCCAAACGTGGCAGCTGAAAGGGTGCGCTCACCCCCGGCCACACCACCGCTCCGTAGCTCTCTATGGATTCTTGCATGACGATGCTCTTGCCTGCAAAGCGATAGTGCTCCTGAGTATAGCTGGCGTAATCTGTAGGCACAAATTTCAGGAGGCTCTGAAGAGATGACTCGGTCTTGCTGGAATCTGTGAGGCGGGAAAGTAAGACGGGTCTCAGGAGCTGCTGATCCAGTGCACATATGCACTTGTACGACTTAGAAAGTGCAAGAGATGTTATAGTCCTTGCCCACACAGATGGGCGATACCCTCAATATCAGTGACTAAGCTAGCAAAAGCTGAATTACGTGGGGTGGTAGAGACATGATACTGAGATGCAACAATTTTTGTGACAGGCACGTTGCTCAGGGTTGCCCCTAGTCTTTCCTTTCCTCAGGCAAGGACACAAGAGACAGGGGCCAATCCCTACCTTACGCTTAGGAGAAAGCTAAAGACCAGCAAAATGGTACAAGTGGGCAAGCCACCCAATAAGGAGGAGCTAGGCAAACATGAACCTGGCTATTTTTAGGTCTCAAAATGAAGTAACATCCCCACATGCTGGCTAGTGCATGTTCCTTAATTCCTTCCCATAACTGCCCCTCAAAAGGCCCAGGTCCTGGAAGACTGTCAGCTGAGCCCTGGCTATTAAATTACTGTGGCTTTAAATACTCCTTTGACCCCATGACCCATCATAGCGGTGCTCAAATATCAAATAAAACAAGAAAAAGAGCAGCTGATGGGCTGACACCATGGAACTGCAGTGCACCACAGGCTTCCCAGAATGTCTAAGGATAAAAAGAGCAGTGGGTAAAATGTCAGGAAGGAGGATGCTGAGCACACGCATACTTGGGGTACCAGCAGTGGAAAGAGATTGGCAGGGCTCGGGGAGGTGGGGAGGCCGCTTCTAACTGCATGAAACTTGCTTTCTTTCATTGCCTGGGGTAGGACTGAAGATGTCCAACCCGGAGTGGAATCTCAGTTTTGGAAAATAGCTGGCAGAAGCAGTCAGTTAACATGTGAAGTGCTCCGATCAAACAACCAGCATTGCCACTCACTCGAGGAGGAAGAGGATGTGGATGCCGGGGGAAGGAAACGGGCCTACGAAGAAACCTCGGCAGCAACTCATCCCTCACAAGCAGGTTCTGCAGCCTTTTCAAACAGCACTAATGTCAGGATACACCACAGCGGCTGGCTGTGGCTGGCTGTAAACCAGCTGTAACAGGTTCACAGAAAGATAAGTACAGAAATCTGGAGTGAGCATTTAGAAAGATTTATAAAAATATGACAATGTCTGTTGAGTATATATGTCTCTATTTTCATTTCTTTTTTCTAGACATTCATTTGTGTTGTATTTTACAGAAGCACCGTACATAGCACATTAGAAATGATCCTCAGCCACCGAGGGTGAAGGGATGAGTGTAAGGGATGCCCCTACCACTTCCGAGTGTTGCCCTTAGCTGCTGGTGTCTTGTGTTTTACCACTTAGAAGTCTCTGCCCTGAGCAGAAAGGTGAGCTTCACTGAACTTGCAAGACCCTGCAAGTAGCCGTTTGGGTCCCGGGACGTTTTCCCTACTGTCACATCAAGTGGGTTGGAAGGAAGCCACAGGGTGAGAAAGAGACCAGGGGCATGACTTAGTTCTTACAGAAAGCCACTGACATCCAACAAAATGAACCCAACATGTGTCAATGACTAGAGTGGCCCTAGCTCCTACGGCTGAGGGGCTGACTGAGTTCCAGCAGAGGAATAGACAGTGGCATGTTGGTGAATTTCTTCAGTACAGTTTTGAAGTGCATAATGATTACATTTATTGCAGGGAGTCAGTAGGCATACGTAATATATCTTAATTCTTTTTTTAATCTGCCCTGCCTCCACCTCTTGGACCCCTTCTTTGTTTTGTTTTGTTCTGTACATGTTTGTAGTGCTTAATGACCCTGGTCCTCACAGGGACTTGGTACCTGTACACAGACATCAGAGTTCCTCTCTCTCCTTTTTTATCCCATTCCCCCTCCATCTCTCAGTCCCCTTCCCATATGCAAAAGATCTAGCTCGACATTTATATTTTGAATTTATATTTTGCATTTCTTGTGTAAGAGAAACCATGTACTATATTAAGTGTGTGTGTCTGTTTTGTTTCACAGGAGAAGGGAGGAAGCAGTGATTTCTGGGGCTTGACAAGTGCCTTGGTGTAAATTCTCCCCCATGGCCGATTTCAAGACACAGATGCCGCGTGTTGGGTGTACAGCAGCATGCCGCGTCTCTCCGTACAGACACAACAGACATAAACAAGCCCAGTGCACAGCTGAGTGTGAGGTACAGTGTGTAGTGAGAGGAAATATTTTCATGTATTTGTCTGTGCTGGCCTGATAGTTTCAGAAGAGTTTGGAGTAGTTATTGTTTTGGACTTTAAATAGACCTTTCTCTTTAATATAACCTACTGAAATGTACCTTAATTCTTCATTGGTTGTATGTAACAACCAGCTCCAAAATTCCTGAAATTCAAGAGCTAGTTCAGGCCATTTCCAGGACACAGCACAGGGTGGGTGACTGGGAGCAGCCAGATCACCAGGGACCGCTGCTGGGTCCTGCTGGCTCCCTAACACCCCACAAGCCCGGGCTGCCCTCTTCCCCTCCCCCTGGGACCACCCGGGGACTGATTTTTCTCTCTGTACTGTAGGAAGTCAGTGAACCTGTCTTGGATATCTCATCACTGCATGGATCTGTGCACTGGAAAATGGTAAGCTTCACAGTTATACTTTCCCAATGACATTACTAAGACATTTTGATATAAATAAATATTTCTTGGAAGTGCTACAAAGATAGAGACTATGTGCTTATTGCACTGTAAATATTTTCATTTATTTTGTCTACATTACCTTTTAAAAAGAACAGATTTTAGACATAGAATTGTGTTTTTAGGTAAACAATGTAGTAAAAATAAATAATATACTCATTAACCACCTTAATAGTTGCAAATCTTTTAGATGCCTCTTATTACATCATTTGTTATGTCTACTGAACTCATGCCCAGAAGTGTAACCAGAAACTTTTACATTGTCCTAGCGGGAAAATACACTACAATTTACAGCTGCCACAAATTCATTTTGGCAAAAAGCAGAAATAAATCTCAATTTCACTTTTTAAAAAAATTATTGTTACAGAAATATAGCACGCTCTGATTTCAACTCAGGGTAAAACAAAGTGGTAAACTATAAGTAAATAATGCACACAGAGCTGGCTATTAATGCTATTGTTTATGCTTGCATAAAGTTATTTCTCTACTATACTTCCTTGTAGTAAAGATTGAAAAGGAAAAGGAAATGGAAATTCTTCCTGCTGAAGTTTACTAGAAAATGTCATCACCAAGAAAGCAACTGAAGGGAGCTGTTCCGGTGATGAAGAAGGTGTTTACCTCCTGCGGGTCCCACGGTGCCATCCTCCGGGACACTGCTCTCCTCGGCCTCTAACCAGCCATCTAGGGACCTCGGTGCCTGCCCCGGGCTCTGGGGCTGCTGTGCGGAGCTGAGGCACATGTCCATGACCCAGCCTGCGAGGAGGAAAGATCCAGACAGGACCTGAGACACTTGCCCGAGTCAAATCTAGTCTCTGGAGGGCTCCAAAAAGTGTAGCTTATCGCCTTAGCATCTGCTGGGCTGAAAAGAGCGGCTGCTTTTCAGCTTAGCTCCTGGCTAAGCAAGGCAGTCACCCAAGGAGCTGCCATCTGGCCTTGCAGAGCCGGGAGCAGGGAGGCCTTGAACCCAGCGAGCCTGTGGGCGGGAAGAAATGCCAGTGGCAGGTGTAGCCTGGAACAAGCGCTGCGCTGCTAGGACGCTACTGTGAATTTGGTATTTGCAGCATTACTTTTTGGCATTCCCCTCCACCACCAAGTACTGAGGCACATCACAGAGTTTCAGACGTCCAAACTGTAATTCCAATAACGTGCGGAGCTGTGTGTCAGTAAGGAAATCCGCCCACCATCGCAGACCATTGCAGATGATTGTAAATTATGGGTTAATGACATCACAGATGAGCAGCTGGGCTTGGAGCAGAGCGAAGCCTGCTCACCTTTCATCCAAGGCAAGTATGATTTCATACTCGGAGGTTGGAGGAGAGTAGAAAGCCTGGGCTGAGAGCCAGCAGCCAGGTCTGGCTCCCCAACCCTTCACGCTTGGCAAGCCCGGTCCCCTCAGCCCATTCCTCAGCAGCAGAAGGAGACAGCGATCACCGCCTCGATCGTAAGGTAGGGGCGAGAAAAGTGCAGTGAAGGTAATTGCAGAAGTGCAGGAACACACGTGATTCGCACAACAGACCTGGCTCCGCACAATGCCTGACACCGTACCGTGTGTCACTGCAAGCGCTGGTCTAGTGTCCTGTGCATCTCCTGTAAGCCTCGTGACAACCACAAAGGGGCCATTGTCACTGTAGCCCGTCTCAGATGAGAGTAAAAACCAGCAGACACAGCTGGCCAGTGACAGCCAGAGGCAAAGGGGGACCGTGGCGCAGACCCACGTTTGTACCCACCAGCGGGGCAGCCCCAGCTGCCATGGTTCAGCCTCCATTTCCCTGGTCTGGTTTTCCCTAAAATGACTCGCAGTGCTTAATGTGTCATAATCCCACGCGGTCACAGCGACTTCCCGGATCTTCTGACGGAGTGTAAATGGTTTTGCTCATCTGTGGTTACAGGCCTGGGTGTATATGCACACACAAGTTGCCCCACCATATTATTTCATCCAGCTGAGGATGGTAATGAGACCCCAGGCAGACCGCTGCCACGGGCTCAGCTCTGCCCAGCTGTTGGGCAGGGGCTTGCACCAGGCACACATGGCAAGGCTGAACTCCTATTCCCACAGCACTGCGACTTCCTCCCACACCTGCAGATGGCCGCCCGCCACCACTTGCGTCTCAACAGGATTTCATAGAAACGAGACTGCTGGGTGTAATGCAGCGTTTTTGTGAGCTCTAGTATGAAATCATCAAATGTTTACCTCAAATCGCCAAATCACCAGACCAGCCAAGAGTGCTCTACCCATCTGTGCTTTACACAAGAGTTTGTTTTCTCTTGTAGATACTTGCTCCTGTCCAGCCCCACCCCTCGAGACTCCAGGAGATTCTGCCTCAAAGATAATGGATTGGTTGTGGGGCAGTACATAGAGGCTCTCAGTGTAGACACCTCAGCGCTGCGGTGAAAGCCTATGTGAGAGTCTCAGCCCTGCCGTGTGTAACCCATGTTAAAAGTGCAGGTAAGTGGCGGCACCTAGCTCACGCAGGGGACAGGGTGGTAATCAGTACGGTCTCTCCCACATCGCTGTCAACTGCTGTCTTGTCCCCGGAACCACAGGGAGCCCTGCAGTAGGACACTTGTGCAGAACTCCGTCACCTCACCGTGAGATGCTATGCACTGAATTCAAGACATTTCATCATTTTCATGCACAGAAAGGTGAACTGTTTCCAATCCAGTAGCAGGTGATGCTTTTCCCTGTGTCTCCCTCCCCACCGCCGTACTTAACTGAGAAATTCATTCCTTCCCAAAGACAGCTATGCACTGAAAAGCAAATCTAGAAGAGAACTGCTGTCATACGCTCGGTGTCTATTATTAGTTGGATACATCGCATTATCTGTATCATGTATTAGTATTTATTATAAAGAATTGGAAAGTTTTTAAATGACTCCTTGTTAGTACCCTCAAAATCATTTTTGAACTGTTAGTTTAAATGGATCTTTACCTTATGGAGCAGAAGAGATTCGAGATTTCTGTGAACTCTTTAATCCCCAATGTTTTATATAGGTCTACACCTGAGAGGGTTAGCTTGTTATGAACAAAAGCCAGCCAGTGGAAGTTCAAGTTATTTAGGGTAGCATTACCCACCAGCACTCACAGATACATTACTTTGCTAGGGTGATCTCTCTCGCTCTCTCTCTCTCCCTCTCTCCCTCTCTTTCTCTCTCCCTCTCTTTCACTTCTTCTCTCTCTCCCTCTCTTTTTCTTTCTTTCCTTCTTTCTCTCCTTCTCTCCCTTTCTTTTTCTCCCACTCTCTCTCTCTCTTTCACACACACACACAGACACTTACACAGTCGTTGCAACATGAGTCCATTGCCCTGAAAAGATCCAGAAATCTCTCTCCAGCTGAACAGATCCCCTGTGTGTACAACCGCCATGGTCGTTCCAAGTGTAGATGTCTATGGGAAGGTGGGGGTTCGCAAAGACCCACAAGCCTTGTGCTCATCAGCCAGAGTCCTGTGGCTCAAGGGTGGGGCTTGCCCATCCGCAGTGGATGCTCTCTGGACCCTGAGCCCAGCTGCCAGAAATAATATGAGCCTCCATCGAAGGGAAGGGAAACATTTCTGAGGAAGAAGGGGCACCATTAAAGGCTGAAAATAATCCCCTCTGGAGTATTTAGGAGGGAGCAAGAATAGGAGAAGAGAAAGACTCTTCCAAGAAAAAAGTAAGCCATGGTAATTTATTGGATTAAAATAAGGGACAGTGGAAAGGTAAAGAAACTCCTGCTTGTTTATGAAGCTTGGAAAACGTTAAAACAGAATATAGGGCATGTAAAGTAAAGCCTCAGGTAACTAGGAATTAATGAATTCTTCTCACTTTCATTAACCAGTGAGCTGAATGAATACAGGTTTATCCAGAGTAGATATAAAGTCCAATTTTTGTTTTTGTTTTACTCAACCTTAGCATTCACTTTTCTCCCATCACTAGTTTTTGTTCTCTCTATCAGTTTCCTTAAACTCGGGATCTTTATTTACAAGGATGTACTGCAGCCCCATAACTCCCAGGTCTTCTTCCCTGCCCCGCCAGGGAAGGAGAGACCTGGCCTTTCCCTAGCTCTAGGGTTCGCATGTTCTCTACCCGGGAGGCCCCTCCTGGGACTGCACCCTGGGCTTCTGACACTCACTCCCACCACTGCCCTTAGGAAAAAATAGGAAAAAAAATGGTCATCATTACAGTTTGACTTTAAGATACTGACTGCAGTGCATGTGACTCTTCACACCCATTTATAAACTAGAATGAAGAAAAAAAAAATCGTCCCATTGTCAAGAAACAGGCTAACATTCTTTGTATCAATTTGTACATTTTTAACTTTTTGTACAAATTTACTAAAAAGCTATTTTTCTTGAAAAAGAAAAGGCTGGACAGAAATATGTGCATCTTTGACCTGGTCTCCTATTATTTTAAGAGCTTATTTTTAATATTTTCTACAAACATCACCTTTTAAGCATTTGCTTTAAGAAATAAACCAGAACTCTATTTTCTGGAGCTGGGGTGAGTGAATCAGAGGTTCCTACGTCCTGGATGGTCAGTGGCTACCTCAGAATTCCCTGGAAGGTTTAGAACAGAGACTCCTGGCTCCTGGGAATGCTCATCCACAGGGCTGAGAAGGAGCCTGGAAGTGTCTAGAAGAAGCCTAGAAGTATCCCCTGTCCAGGAGTCATTCCCAGATGCGCTGCAGGACTTGGCACTTGCACGCATTTGCTGTTAAGTGTGCATCTCCACGTGCCTCCCGGCCTCAGGAAGACACCAGAGCTCTGGGAGGGACCGGGCAGAGATACAAGAGCTGTTTTCTAATAGATCAGGTGCCAGCCCATAAAGAGAGATTAGGCCTTCTGCAAGCCCTGGAGGGCTCACTGATGAAGTAAGTTCCCACCAGTCCGGCCCGGCTCAGTAGGAAAGAACTTTCTAACAAGTACAGCCGAGGTGGAACAATTGATCTCAGGGAAGCTGGCATCCTGGAAAGCGGGCCAGCCTGGTCAGAAGACTGATCAGGAGGGTGGGCTGTGCCCCTGCAGCTTGGCTTTTGGAACCACACCTTGCTGTCGTCCTCAGGTTCTCCTGGGGGAGTCCATCTCTCCCCGCAGAGGACACTCAGCAAATTGGGAGGCCTGTTTGTTTTGGTGTCACAGTAGTGGGTGTGATGCTGCTGGCACCAAACGCACAGCAGCCAGGATGCATAGGATAGTGCCCAGGGCAAAGCACCATCAGCCGTAAACATCAGCAGTGCTGACTTCCTGGAGCCCTGGTCCAGGCAGTGGGTCAGAGTTGTCATGCAGGATAGATGACAATGACTGGGCTAATATGGCATCTACCAGGTGGGTGACCTTGGGCAAGTTTCCTGCTCTTTCCCTGGTGTCCTCCTCTGAAAAGGAGGTGCATTAGCTTTTACAGACCCATTAGCACAGGACCAGCTCTGAGCTGGGTCCCAGAGCATCTCCGCAGCCTCTGTCTTAGTCTGGTTTCTGCAAAAAGCAGACACAAGAACAAAGATTGGAGAGAAGCCATTTTATTTGGGAAATACTCAGGCAACATGGCAAGGCTGAAGGAGCAATCCAGGGAGAGGCAGTAGCTGCCACAGGGCATGCTACGAGGCCAGTGGTGGCAGTGGGCATTCAGCTTCAGTTTGGTGAAAAGCCAGCAATGAAGCAAATCACACAGCGGACAGTTACTCCTTTCCTGGTTCCCAGAGCTTTTTACACCAACACTCAGGCACAAAGGCAGAGACCTGCAGCAGCTGAGGCTGGGTAGCATCTGTAACAGCCCCATACAATGTCGTCAGAGCTTTACAGCATCATGATGGTACATGAAGTGTACATATCTGAGAGAATTTGGCGTAGTGCCTGTTTTGTGCTTTGATAAGTGCCCATTTTGTATTACGTCATATGCCATCCAACCAGAGGGATGAATCAGCAGTGTTCTGCAGCAGGGCCTAGGCCACTCACTGAATGAAATGAAAAAGCTGAGCACACAGTCTTGAGAAAAGTAAGAGCCAGGGCTCTTCCTGTCCAAGGGGTCTCAGCAGCAGCAACAGCAGCAGTTATTCATGGGTCTCTTTCAGCATCTCAGTTGGTGACCTTGACTGCAACTTTCTTCCTCGTGTATTGGTGGTCAGGGCTCAAGGTCTGAGAGGGGAGATCCTGCCTGACCCTCACTCCTGTGGTCAGGGCTTCCTGGTGTGAGAAACACCCCATCATTGTGAGGAGCAAGCTGACAAGGAAAGGGTTCTGGGCCCAAAGAAAGCAAGTCATGCATGGCCCTCCTCTCCTTCCTGGCCATCCTGTGCATGTACACTTTCTCAGTTCCACCAGCGCAGTTTCACAGTGGAGACTGGCCCCCTTTCCAGCAGCAGGTATCCTAGAGGCTCGTCTGGTGATTGCATCTGGAAAGGATGGAGCCAGTCTTCCCCAAGTCCAAAGTCCTTCATGGTGTCCACATCTTCCCCAGCTCCACTGCTTCTTCCTCACTAGGCCCTGCTCCCAAGTGGCCCCAGACGGTGTGCTGAGCTGTTCATCTCTACCCATCTCACCCCTGAATATGAATGAGAGGCTCATTGCTTTCCATGTGCTCTTCCCCAAGTTTCCACAAAGGAAGAAGGATTCGCTAATGGAACAAATGCAAGAGGTAGCCACCATGCTCATTTCTAGGAAAGGCTGCAGAGAATTCCCTCCCAGAAAAGTGAAGGTTTCATTGAAGAACTCGATTTTCTTTAAGAACCCTGAGAACCAGAAACATTCAGTCAGGTGTATGGCTTGCGGTGTATCTTTCAGAAAACATGTGGTCACAGCGAAACCATGAAATTTCACAGCTTCTTGCCCCTGCATAATCTCACAGTACAGTGGCCCTAAGGCCAGGATCCTCTTCGTCAAGCCTTTCAGGGCTACAGCACTGCTCCCTCGGGGAGCTGCTGGGTGATGCTGCTGGGTGGATGTAAAACTTGACGTCATCAAACGCCAAAGACACCGTCAGACTGGGAAAACCTGTGGGGCAAAAATTTAGAATGGGACTCTGCTTGCCTTGGCAGGAATATGGTGGCTTTACTGTGATGGTGTAGAGAGATGCAGTCAGAGATTACAAAGTGAACGGTCAAAACCCAGTCAGCAACAGTTAAATCCTATACCTGCTCAGGTTTTCAAAGATCAAATTCCCCTTTCTGGAGAAAGGAGATTTGTAAACTAAAATTTGTCCAGCTTGTGGACAGGGAAGAATTTACTTGGCTTCTTTCTAAATGATCCTTACATAATGACAAACAGATCAGTGAAGGAGAGAAATAATAATCACGAACTAAGCCAACAGGTTTGGAAGCAACAAGTGAAGTTACAGTCATTTCATTTTAAAAGTGCACATGCCTGTTTCTGAGCTTTTGAGTCTCACCCTTAACTGTATCAAACTGTCCATAAGTGTTCTGCTTCATAAGGGGCCTCTGTCAGAAAACCAGGGGTTGCGTTGATGGTCTCTCTGCATGTTGATGAATAGATGTACTTTTAGCTCTTTGTTTCAGTTTTTAAAATTTTTTCCCAATGTACTTCCTAAAACAGATTTTTCCTCAAAGAAATTTTATTGTAATTATATTTTTAGAAAAACCTCCAACTGGACCTGTGTGTAAATCACAATTTGCAATCATCAGGCTTCGTGTTACCGTAACAGCCGGGAATGTTTTGGGTCTGAGCTATGGGCCTATGGTATTAAATACACAGAGGAACTGTGTGCTTGGGAAACAGGTTTGGATGAGAAATTCTGACAGAAAAATCTTCAAAATAGTGTTAGTTTGGCAGTGACATTCCTTCTATTTTAGTTGCATCTTTTTCTTGTGGTCCTGGAGATCTAACCCAGAGCCATGTGCATGCAAGGATAGAACTCTACTACTGAGCCACATGCCAAGCCCCCTTCTTTTTTAAACTTTAATAAACGAGAGCTCCTCATAATTGCAGGACAAAAGCAGCCAAAAACAACATCTCTCCATAGAAATTCAGCTTCCAGAATGATGAGGAGACAACTCAGTTCCGGTTTTACTATCAGAATGGTGACCCCTCAAAAAATTTAAAAAATGAAAAAGTAAAATTAAACTAAAAGCAACTGTGTACATCTGTTCTCCAAAATGCATACGGGTCCACGAGACAACCCACCGCTTCTCTGTGAGGGCCACTTGTAGCGAAGCCGAGGGCACAAAGCACCCAATGGCTGTGGCTCTCAGCCACGCTGCCAGTGGCAAAGGCCTCTGGCACCATCTGTTCTTTCCAGAGTGGCACAGCAGCTGGGCAGTGGCATTTTTTCTGGAGGACTTAGTTGTAACGAATCATGCTCTGATTTTAGCAACAGCAGTTGACCACTGTTCAGAAAGATCATTTTTTCCCAGCAGATTTCTGTTAGGAAAGAATGTGTTTACCTGGTGGAGTTATTCTGGGACATTCCTCAGTGGGTAACGTCCTTCCATTCTTTCCCCCTTCGGCTGTGTGGGGCTATGGCAAGGTTTGGGGGAATAGGCATAGTCACTAGAGTATCAATCCAGGTGAAGGGAGCAAAAGGAACCAGCTGTCCCTCGTGAGTGTTCTCCGCTTCCCAACGTTGTAGCCCCAGACAAGGCATTCAGTCTGTCTCCCCATCTATTAGAGAGAATGAGACCTGTAATATATCTGCTCCAGAAGGTCTAGAGGGAAAGGCCTCTACTAGAGCTCTCCTCAGCCCTGGCAAAAGCAGAGACCTCCATAAAGAAAACATGGAACCATCCATCAGGCTGCCTCCACAGCTGAGCTGTGTCATAGTCCACATCTGCTCCCACTGGTAGGCCCACGACCTGGAGATCTTACAGGATTGAGAAAAAACTTTATGGGGAAAACCACTCAGATGTCAGGGGTCTTGGCACACATAACTCTGGCATAGACTGACAAATGCTGTGTGTGTGTGTGTGTGTGTGTGTGTGTGTATTTGCAAACTCTTGTCAGACCATAATATAAGGAGGCAGATGAGAGCAGGGCTTAATGAAGCGGGGAATAAATGGGATCCAAGGGGAGAGCATGATAAACAAATAATGATACAAAAGATAAAGCCTGGGTTTAAAAACTCACTTATGGTAGGATTCATGCACACATATCTACGTTAATGGTAATTATACCTCAATGGTTGCACTTCCTGCAGGTTTTCTTGCTTCCTCCTAACTCCAGACTCCTCCAGCGAGGGTGCCAGGGAACAGGAAGAGAGAAAAAGAGACGAACCTGATTTAAGGACACCTTGTCCAATCACAACCCTAACCCTACCATGAGCCTCCAATTAACTCAGAATATTCTCTCTCCTCATCACTCCTTTTTATCTCTACCTCTGCTTTTGTTGTCTTCATTTATTCAGTTAAAGTTAACTATAGTTTCATTTACTTTTATCTAAATAAATGGCAAGAGAAACCTGAAACAGGAGATCATTGTAAACTGGGAAAACTTTACAAATTTTATAAATTACAAAATCTTGGTGCATCGGTTAAAGGAGGGATTATTCAGTGGTGCTCCTTAGCACATGGAGTGGCTGACTCAACTCAGGACCATCAAAGTAGGTGCAGGTGGAGAGATCACAGCAATGGGATTTGGGAGTTGGGCGAGAAAGAGCTCAACTCCAAGTACAGCCCAGGCTAGTGAGAATTACAGTCAAGGAGCAGGTGGGGCTGTAGATGGAAAATTAACCAGGAGGAAACGTCAGGGGTGAGGAGGACTGTGGCCATGCCAGCCTCACAGGATTCTGTCTGAAGGCAAGCTCAGGTGACCAGACATCACCCGGGATAGTGGGGATTAAGGAACCCGAGGAAATATGGAGACTGATCGACCATTGAGTATACTGGGTTCTGGCTAAGCTGACTTAGCAGACTTTTTGACAAAATTGGATTTTGTAAGAATAGACCTAGAAGACTGAGGAGTCTGGTGAATCTTTGCCCCTTCCAGAGACAAGGGATAATAACAGACAGTAATAGACTGATACTGCCCCCTGATGTTGAACATTAGCAACCTCTGACGAGCTCTAGAATTAAAAATGACGTTTCCAGCTTTGCATTGCTTAGATTTCCAGTGTCATTATCAACTGTAAGAAACTAGTCTCAGACCCACCAAGGCCCCAGTGGGGGCACACACACTGGCCCAGCCCAGGCAGGAACCAAGCAAGCCAGCAAGGCCCCCTGTGGGCGCATACACTGTGGTCAGGCAGGACCAGCAGTGTAGAAAAGTCCGAAGCAGCAATGAGACAATGAGTCAGCAGTTGCTAAGTTAGGTAAATCAGCATGGTGCTTCAGAAGGCAGGTGGGGCCACCACTTTTTTTAACAAAGGGCTCAGGGAGAGCTCCAGCAACAAAAGACCAGTTGCACACCCCACATCCAGAGGCCAAGATCAGCCCCACATCCAGCACAAATCCCACTGTAAACTTGGCTGGAGTACATAGCACATTTCTGGGATCTGACTTGGACCTACCACAGAACTGTAGAACCCAGAGGAATTTTGCTACTTTTATTTGTCTCTGTCTGATTGGTATTTCCATTCTCTGTCTGCTTGGGGTTTTTTAATTTATTTTGTTTGTCTTGCTTTTTTTTGTGGTTATTTTTGTTTTTTCTCTTTCTTCTCTTTTTTTTTGTCTTCTGTTTCTTTCATGGGTTAGATGTCCTATTTTCTGTTTATTTTCTTCTATTCATTTTCTTTCTCTCTTTCATCAACACTCTCACTGGATTTTTTTCATACTTTCATGTGAGTAAACATTGTGTATTCTCTTTTTGGCTCACTTCAATACTGCTTTGTTTTCCCGTTCTTTCCCTCTTGTGTCCTACAGCTTCCTAAAACTTGGGTGATCACCTTTTGCCTTCCAGTCTTGCTCCTACTGTATTTGATCTCATTCATCTCTCTGTCTTGCCCCCTGTCCCTCTTAAAACTGTCCTCCCTGCAACAGCGTAAAATCACTCCACTAAGGGGGAAATTATTGCATACAAGTTCCTGGGATATGTTGGATTTTGTTATATAACTGTAGAATTTGCTTCTGTGGTTAAAGGTATCAGGCTAATAGTTACCACAGTTTATCAGTAGCAAGGCTGTCCTTGAGACTATTGTTATTGCTAACTGTACTACTTTAGCCAAGATATCATACCTGTCATAATTAGTTTTTCTCCCCTGTATGACAACACTGTGATTGTGTGGTATCATAACCATCACCATAGTCCAGTACCAAAGGGATGGGTGCTGGGCCAAATAGTGACTTGTTATCCTTAATACATTGGGAAGGTAGGTTCTCAGGATAGACAAAAAAATCAAGATCCACCTACACCTAGAAGATATCCCTGAGGAACAGAATCTCCTAGGGAAGCCTCAATACTAGGGAAAAAGCTGTCTACCATAAGAAATCTACAAGCATCAAAATAGAAAACAAAATAAAATAAAAAATAGAAAGCAGCAAAATGCAGAAGCAAAGTGCAACCCCAGACCCCCAGCCTACCCAGAAGTCCAAAGCACAATGAGATAAATGATTGGAAGCTAACCAGTGGAACTTTCTGAAATGATAGCAACAGAAGTGAAAAAAACAAATGGATGAGGCTATAGGAAAAATAATGTGCAAGATTCAAAAAGAAATGACCAAAATGAAAGACAGTAAAGCAGACACAGATTTTAAAAATAGAGGAGCTCAGGAAAATGATAGAAACCATGAATGCCAACATAGGAAAGAAATGGAATCCATGAAACAGATCCAAATAGAAATCTAGGAGATTAAAAACTCCATTGATAGTATGCACAACAGATTGAATGTGGGCAAGGATAGAATATCAGGTATAGAAGACAGGATTGCTGCTAAAAAACAAAAAAAGAAAGACATCTTAAAAATAGCATGAGCCATGAAAAATCAATAGCTACAAGATGAAACAAAGAAGAACTACATCAGATTGATTAGAACCAATGAGAAAGCTGGAGATGGCAGAAAAACCATTAAAAAAAAATCTTCACAGAAACAATGGGAGAAAACTTCCCAAACATTGATAAAGAATTTGACATACAAATAAATGAAGCATATAGAACTCCAAATAGCCATGACCAAAATAAATCTAAACCAAGGCATATGAGAGTCAAGATTCCAGAAATTCAGCACAAGAACAGAATATTAAAAGTGACTAGAGAAAAGAAACAAATCACTTTTGAAGGAAAACCCATCAGAATCACAGTAGACTTGTCAACACAAACCCTCAAATCAAGGAAAGCTTGGAGTAAGATATTTCAAGTCTTATAAAAAAAACCTTCAATCCAGATTGATGTACCCCACAAAAGTATCTTTCAAAATTGATGGAGAAATAAGATACTTCTATGATAAAGAATAACTGAAGAAATTCATGACCACCAAACCAGTTCTTTAGAATGCCCTGAAGGATATATTGGAAAGAGAAAACTAAGACCATAAGCACAAGAACACCAATAGAAGGAAGCCACCAAACTGGCCAAATAATTAAACAGAGGGGGAAGACAGGGAAAAGACAAGGTAAAACACATCAGTTATAACCATCAACATAAATGGTCTCAACTCACCAGTCAAAATAAATAAATAAATAAATAGACTGGCAGAATGGATCAAGAACAACATCCAACAGTATGCTGCATTCAAGAAACACATTTAACTCAAAAAGAAATTCATAGACCAAAAGTCAAAGGATGGAAAACACTACGCATGCCACAGGAACCCAGAAAAAAAGCAGGG